GATATGGGTCCAATAATAGTGTAGTTGGATGGGGTTTGAAAAGAGCTTTCCAACGATATATTATAAGCCCAATTCCGATGAATATTGAGGGAATTATGGCCAATTTACTAAACTGGGCCCAGTTTGAGCCTTATATGCGGCCCAATGATCTTAGGGAGGACCTAATATGATTTATCATTCCTAATGTAATTAGGAATGGTTTTAGTCTTCTAGAATCTTCTAGAAGGTTTTCATTCCTAGTTCAATTAGCATTGATAAATTGATTTTTTGACTTTTCAGAGTTTTAATTAAAATCAAATAGCATTTTTGAGGAAATTATATGATTTTATCCTCCAGTACGGTAAAATTATCTGATTTTCGAAAACGCGTTGGAAATAAGCTTGGCGCCTAACCCCAGGCCTTGGCGCCTGGAACCAGGCCTGGCGCCTGGCGCTAGCCATTGGCGCCTGGCGCTAGTGTTGGTGCCTGACGATAGTTAGCCAAGGGTGGCGCCAGCTCTGTTTTCTGTGCGTCAGACTCTGTTTTGTTTATTTTATCTTTTTGGCTAATTTTCTCTATAAATATCGTATTAAAAACTCCGTTTTCATTCACCAATTCTCCTCATTCTTTAATTCATTCACCTACAATCAGTTTTCATTCGCAATCATTAATTCTCTAATTCTCTCTTAATCATTCACCAACTCTCATCAAGGTTTTCTTGATTATTCTCTCTCTTTTTTTTTCTAAACTAGCCTTTTTTCATATACAAAATTCCGCATTCACAAGATCTAGAAACACCTAGCCATATTTGAAGTTGCCTTCACCCTAGACGTGAAAGGTTTAATTTCTGAGGGTTTGGTCTCAAATCTCTTTTTCTATTATTTAATTTAATTGTTGTTTATTATTTTCCTTGAAGTTACTAATGTGTGTATTTTGTTATTAGAAAGAGGTACAAAGCATCAAAGTAAGTACTTAAATTGATTTATTGATATTATGATGTAGAAATCATGTTTACATTGTTATTATGATATTCCTAGTATCATGTCTAGGGTATTTTTAATATTAAATATGATTCCTGTGATGTTTCCTATGTTCTTCCTAATATTTATGATTGTTAGTATCATGTTAGGGTTAAAGATTTGATTTTTATTGCTTAGTGACATGCTAGGGTTTGTTATTAATCTTGTTAGTATCATGCCTAGGATCTTGCTATTTTTATTATGCTTTAATATTAACATGAACATGATTATGATTATAATTGTTATAATTTATTATTATTTTGATGATGATTATTTTATTTATGATGATTATGATTATTATTATGATATGATTATTAATTATTATTCATGATTATAATTTTATTATTATGTTGCTTGATATATTTATTTGTATTGCTTGATCACGCCTTTTATGCATGTTAAAGGGAATTGGTACTTGTAATCATGCTTAATAAGATAATAAATAATCTTGTTAGGGTTAATATGATTATAATTCAAGTGATTGCCAATAATAGTTTGTTTGTGCATTTATATTCAACCAACATAGATTAAACAGGTTTAGGGTTAATCATATTGATTGCATGTTAATCAGAAAGCGCACATGAATACGATAAGAATAAAATAGAGGCCTATTATTAGGGCATGTTCAATATCTTTTAAGTTGGATTTGTACCATCATCCCCAAACCCTTATTTGGTTCTAGACCTTATGGAGTTGACGATCTCTTGGATCGTTAAGGGGTGTAACCTTCATCCTATGAACGGTTTACAAGTTCCTTAAAAACTTGTTGGCGACTCTTTTGCTCTATCTTCTTCCCTTTTGGACGCCACCGTATTTTAGTGTATGATCATAGTTAGGGGATTAACGCTTTAATTTATTCCCTACAGAAGGTAAATAATCATATGGAGTATTTTATACTTTAAACGGTTTCTTGTTTTAGTATGTACAAGGCTCCACATGCTCCAATTTCTCTCACAATTTGATGATGACGTAGTTTGACTCAAAATTCTTACTGCAAGTCGTTGTAGTTCTAGGGTACTTTCACCATATGTCAACCACCACATAGCTACATTATCACAATTAAGTTTTAAACATGTATAATAACATATGTAATATATAGTTACATAGATTAAGAAGTTATATATGTAGAACGTTTTATTACCTGGGTCCATGTAACTAATTCCCTTTTTAGTCGAAGTACTTGCAAGACTATCCATCTTGTCCTTGTAAAGGTAAATCTGTTTATTGAAAATAAATATTAACATAGTCACGTTTTATTAAAACAAGTAATTTTATTATTCGAGAATGTAGTTGAACATTCAAATATAACGACTTACTTGTTGAAGTGCTCTAACTTCTTTTTCTATGTCTCGCGACAATCGTGAGATCACATATTTTACCCCTTTCAAAAGCTCTTGGTCATTTCCAACATCATGATTTTCATACATGTGTTGAGGATTGAGAAAACACCCTTAATATGTTGTAAGGTTAGTAATAAAAATGTATTAGTTAGATTATATAATAAAAAACTAGAAAAATAAAATAGTACCGTTAATTTTAATTCATATTACCTGCTGCATGTAAATCAGTGTGTAGTCCGAAGTTCCACCTTTTATCAATCATCTTCCAATAAGTCTTATAATATGGACAATATCCTTTGATGGCCATTTTACATCTTTCCATGGCCTCGTAAATGAACCCCATTGTTGGTTGGCTGCCTTCGTCAACCAGTCTCAGCACTTTTAAAATTGGTTCTTGCAATTTCATGATTCAATCAGCTTTTGTCTAAAATGAAGCTACAGAACTTGTCGGATTTTTTTATAACAACTCACGTACTTCAACAGCCAAAGGATCCATCATTTGTCCATATCGAGAACTTAACCATTTTGAGGAGTCAAACATCTCCTGCAAAGAACATCATAAATTGTGTTGTAAACCGAGTGATACCAGGAAGCATGAGTTCCCTATCTCCGGTAAATTCCTTCATGTAACTGATTGCCCATTTGTAGTGATAGATAAATTGTGAAATCTTTTTTGCTTTCACCATCACAGGTTTGATGTTTTTCATGCTCCCCAAATCCTATAAAAGAAGATCTAATCAATGTGCGGCACAGGCTGTCCAATACAAATGCGAAAATGCTTCCATTAGTTTTTTTTCCTACAGCTTTCACGCAAGCCTCATTGTCTGTCACTATTTGAATAACTCTTTCTTCTCCGATTTCTTCTAATACCTTTATCATAAGTCAAAAGTAGTAATCGGCATCCCTTTTCATTACATTTGTGGCATCTATTGACTTATGGAAGACAGTTCCACGAGCAGAGTACACAAGAAAGTTGATAATGAGCATATTTGTAGGTCCTGTCCAACCATCCACTACGTGAAAAAATGAATTTGGCACCGGTTCAAACCCAGCCTAAGAAACCGGGTTTGAACCGGTTCCAATGTGGGGGGTGCCAAAAAGGGGTTTAAAAAGGCACCGGTTCAAACCGGTGCCAAAAATCGAAATTGGCACCGGTTAACCGGTGCCAAAAAATCCCACAGAAAATTATTTCAAAGATTTTGGCACCGGTTAACCGGTGCCAAAAAACCCCAAAAAATAATTTTTTTTTTTGTTGTCATTTTTCACTTAAAAATCAAATTGACTAAAATAAATAAGAACAACAACATATTAATCGAATATCATTGAATATAACCGAAAACTTACAGTATATAATCAAGAAAAAATTACAATATAAGAATTATAAAATTAAAAATTTACCACATATAAATAAATAAAAAAGAACTACAATATAAATCAAAAAAAAAATATTACAACATCACAATAAAAAAAAAACCCCAAACATCTAAATCAATATTCTTGATTCTTGATTCTTCGATTATGTGCAATATTTTGGGCTTGCAAAGGAAATAGTATACCTGCGCCAATTAGTTCATCCAAAAAAATCAATTAAAATGTATTAGCTGCGAAAATTAGTTTAAAACCCAGAAAATTAAAAAAAATCGAAAAAATTAAAATTAAAAAAAAATTAAAACCCAGAAAATCGAAAAAATTATAATTGAAAATTAGTTGAAAATCCAGAAAATGAAGAAAAAATTAAATTAAAACCCAGAAAATCGAAAAAAGTTAAAATAAAAAAAAATTAAAACCCAGAAAATTAAAAAAATAAAAATAAATAAAAATCGAAAATTAGTTCAAACCCCAGAAAATTAAAAAAAAATAAAAAAAATTAAAATCGAAAAAAAATTAAAACCCAGAAAATCAAAAAAATTAAAATCGAAAATTAGTTGAAAATCCAAAAAATGAAGAAAAAATTAAATTAAAACCCAGAAAATCGAAAAAAATTAAAATCGAAAAAACTAAAACCTAGAAAATTAAAAAAAAAATAAATTAAAATCGAAAATTAGTTAAAAACCCAGAAAAAAACGAAAAAATACCCAGAAATCGAAAAACAAATAATAATCGAAAAATGAATCAAAATCGAAAAACAAATACCCAGAAATGAAATCCAAAAACAAATACCCAAAAATGAAATCGAAAAACAATTACCCAGAAATGAAATCGAAAAACAAATACCCAAAAATGAAATCGAATAACAATACCCAGAATTCGAAGAAAAATAAATCAAAATCGAAAAAAAAACCTATTAAATTCGAATAAAAAAGAACTAGAAATCAAAATAAAATAAAAATCTATCAAAGTTGAAATCGAATAATAAAACCCCCCAAAAATCGTAAAAAAAATGAAATCGAAAAAAAATACCAAGAAATCGATTGAAAGAAAGGAGGACGGTGTTGCATGTTGGAATTCTTTGAATGCAAGAAGGGAGGAGGACACCAGGGAGGAGGACACCAGGGAGAAGGAGATGAGGGAAGAGAAATAGAAGGAGGAGAAGGAGATCGAGAAAGAGGAGGAGAGGAGAGAGAAAGAGGAAGAGGAAGAGAGGAGGAGAGAGAAAGAGAAACGACTGAGAGGAGGGGAGATGAGTGAATATGTTAGGGTTGGGGGGGTTTTAATGGTCCGGTTTTTTTTTAATATTTAATGGCTCCGGTTCAAAAAGGCACCAGTTCAAAACGGTGGTCTTTATGTTTTTGGCACCGGTTTGAAATGAACCGGTGCCTTTTACTGTGGTTTAGCTTCCCACCAATTTTGTAGGCTATTTTTGGCATCGGTTTGGACTGAACCGGTGCCAATTAGGGGGTGCTATTTTGATATTTTCTACTAGTGATCGCACATTATAGTGACACCTCTTTCATTCCAAGTTGGCTCGAAGGTTTTGATGTATTCCTTCATTTCCTTGCACTGTTCCGGAAGGTATACCTACATGAAAAAAGTTTGATCAAAAATTAAAATATTAAATAATTACTCATTCATAGAATTCAAATGTTAAAAGAACATGTTTACCTCAGTAATATCATATGTTGTAGGTGCTCGAACATTAGGACATTCTCGTATTGTCTCCATAAGTGGGTTTGTGTATGGAGACTCAATTGCTCTGAAAGATTGATTTGTATCAAGCATCCAATTCCCAAATGCTTTTGTAAGTTCCTTTTTTGCTTTCTTTAGCCAACCAGTGCCAAGTCTCATTTGTTTTTTCTTTGAGCAATCTTTTTCAAATTCTATTTCACGAGCTCTCAATCTTGTAGTCGGATTTGAAGGTTGTTGAATCGCTAGATTTCTATCTTGAACTGATGTTGATCGATTCAATTGTGGAGGATGGCTACTACCTCCATCATTGTAGTATCCACCTCTACCTCTACTATATACATCACGGTGATAGTCAAACTCATGTTGCATTCTACTTTGTCGTCGAGCAAATTCCATTTCTGGATCATATCATCATCACGTATTGATCTTCATAATTCATTCTTAACCTCCATATCAATTCTTTGTTTGTCTTTTTTCTTATCTTTATAATCCATTAACATTGCCATCATATCTCTTTTTACATTTGCCGACACACTTTCACATGGAGCAACATCACCTTTCTTGTGAGCTAAATGTAGTTTTAATCTTGTTATTCCTCCATTAATTGTTTTATTACAATATTACATTTTATTTTACGTTTGTTGCCGTCAATTGCTTTGCCAAATCTCCACACAATATCTTCATCTCTTGGTGCCATTAGTTTGAAGCAAAGTACTATAACATTTTTAAAAAATTTATTAATTATAAGATAATCACATGAAATATTTATTGTTCAATTAAAATCATTACGATTATAAAATAAACACAATATTCAATAAATAAATAATCAAGAATAAAATTAATCACACAAATCTTTAATTTAAATACAAACTACTTTTCACTTACAATAAGCAAGTAACAATATTTTCTATTAAAAAATTGAAAATAACGTAATTAAGCAAAATGTTAAATGTCATATACAAAAATGATAAGTTTCATTCGTCATTTTTAATGACATCTTTTTTTTTCTCTTTCCTGTTTCCAACCTTTCACCAACATCTATTCTTTTCCATAAACATTATTTTCTGCTCAAAAATTTTATTCACCACCTACATATTTTTTCAATCTAAATTTGTGAAAAAGATTGCTCAAAAGTAGAAGGCTCAAACCTGAAGAATGGCTTAAGTGCTGAAGTCGTACTTTTCGGCTGAACGTGGGAGAACGCTGAACACCTCTGCACCGCGCCGCCGCTACGACGAGTCCTCTTCACCAGCCATCTTTTCGAGGTTCTTCAGATCTGGTAAGTTACTTAATTTTTTTATTTTTCTTATTTTTTTGGAATTTTTGGGATTTTTTTTTTGTGCTCTGAAATTGTGAAATGATCTTCTCTGTCTTCTGGTAAAAAAAACCTTCAATAATTGTTAAGTAGTGGACCAAAAACTTGTGCCATTATTGATGTGAAGAAAGTAGTAGAGAATCTCTGAAAAAAAACTAAAAAAGCATGAAAATGCGCTAAAAATGGACGAATTACTAAAGTATCGCTTGACTTGGACGGTACGGGGCGACATAACGGAGTATTTCAATAACCCGTTACAAAACGTATAAATTCGTTTCGATAGAATTGAATTCCCTACGGAACAGCCACATCGCGACGTAACGACCGCATTTTAATACCCTGCCGGTGGCAGCCGGTAGCAGCGGCGGCGCCACCAGCAGGCTGGCAGCAGCCGGCTGTGGTGCCGGCCACCCTATTCTTGGAAAAAATAAAAAATAATATTTTGTTTTTATTTTTGTTTAAACCTTTGATCTAATTATAGATTATGGGTTTTGTGTTAATTTTATGATGATTGATATTATGTATGGTGCAAATCAATTTTCATATTTTAATTCTAATTTAAAAGCCCAAATTTTGAAACCCTAGATTCATAAATAATTGATTATCGAAGGATTATGATTTTGGGTGGTTTAAACCTTTAATTTAAGAGTTTTAAAGCATAATTACAGCAAGTTTTTATTAATATATATTGCTGGAATTTTTGGTAATATGCTAAAAATCAAGTTTCTTTACAGAATTTTAATTACCCATTAATTGGAACTAAAGTATGAGGTTTTAAATAAAAAAAAATTTAGCTTGTTTTAATTAGATTATATTGAGTGGTTTAATAAAAGTGTTTATTGTTGAAATTTTGTGTAGATTGGATTTTAATGTTCTATTATGATCTTAATTTATAGGAGACTTTGAAGTGAGTGATTTCTATTAGTCGTGGCGGTATTAAGATCAAATTCAAGATACGTCCGCGTACTTAGCATATTTTTGATGATGTAGTAGCATGCTAGATGTGATTAATTAATTCCAAGTAGTATTATGCTAGATTATGATTGGAAATTGTGATTCGGTTATTATTGATGATTGAATTATGAAGCATGATTTATTTGTGATGGATTATTGATTTGGAAATAATCGTTAAACATGTTGAATATGAACCACACTTTTATTTATAACATGATAGAAAACATGTTTAATTAAACTAAATGTTTAATTTAATTTGGAATATTTAAAGGGAATTTTATTATGGTTCATATAATTTTTTATTGATGCTATAAGCATGGGAAAAGAGCTATGTAGGTGTCTACGTACACGAGGACTAAATCGTATGTTGGTGCCTTAGTGCACTTAAGGTGTTTTAACACCGAGGGATAGTATTTTTGGCACATTAAGCGTTTAAGGTGTCTTTGACACCGAGGTAGATTTAAAAAGGGTTCAACATTAAATATTATGTGGTCACTAATTATTCAAGAATTAAATTAGAATGTTTAATTATTTGAATAATTATAATGATTGTATGATTATGGTTTGAGAATCATCACCAAGTTTAATTATATATAAATAACGTAAAGTGAAAGAGATTACGCACCAAAACTCTTGGAACGTATACACCTTGAGTATGAACATATGTGGGTAGTTATGGGGTTTTATATTTAACCATAACTTCTACAAGGAGTACAGGACGCTATATTTTCCTTTTATAATTATTATGCGCAGGAATTCTGCCACCTATGAGTGGTTCTTTGATACTAGCACGGTTAACTCTCGTGTTAGTACCCCTTTTTGGGACAGGTTAGGGGAGAAACCTATTTGATGCATAATCAATACTAAATAAATTATTTAGTTACTTAGTTGAGAATTTTTGTTGTATGTTGTGTGCTAGAAAACAGGTGCAACATGGTAAGTTGTGTGTTGATAGGTAAAAGCATGTTAGTGTGTTTAACTACGCTTATGTACTCATATTTGCACTGGCCTTGTCTTTACCTTGGCCCTATGATGACCCATTTTTAATGGAGAGTAGTGGAAACAAGTAGAGAGAAGTTTTTCAGGCGATAAAGCATATTCATGATGGGCATTGAGTAAAGAGCGAATCATGCTAGTTTCTATTAGTTTATTATGTGTTATTGTTTTCATTATTCTATTATGCTATGTTTGTGAGACTGACACAGAGGTTTTGAATTTGGTTTGGTTTTGTTAAGGGCCTACAATGGTTCCAAGTTGTAGGTTTGACTTTGTTTTACTTTGGTTGACTTTTTAAGTTGAGTCGTTTTAAATATTTTAAAGGAGAGTCTTCCGTTGTGTGTCTTTAATAGTTGCCCTAGCCGTTTTCACAGTGACGGTAATATCTTAGATTTTCCTATTTAAAGTTTTAAACAGGGTAAAACAAGTATTTTAAAAGAAAGGAATTTCTAGGGTGTTACAGGGGTGACTCAAGAAATTAATGTGAAGAGGGTCCTAAAAAAAAAATCAAGCCTAATGTCAATCGTAAGAAACTTAGGGATAATGTTAATGTAGCAATGGAGGATGCCTTGGGTTACAATGAGTGAAGATTCCAAGAAAAAGCTTGAGCTTATCGAGAGAAAATTTAATGACAATGATGAAGGTGGGCATCAGTCCAAGAAGGATCATGATTTGCTCATGGAATGTGTAGATGCAGTAAGTGCTCTTAAGGAAATTGATGGAGCTTTATTTGCAAAGGCAGCTAAACTAATACATGCATGATGATCCATTGTGATGTTTCTTAGATTTCCAAATGATAGGAAGATAAAATTTGTGCTCAACCTTTAAGCATTATCTCGTTTTTCCCCTTAAATATGCATGTTTGAGTATTTAAACTCAATTTAGATCTTATCATAAGTATACTTTTTTTTGGATTTTGTATCTGGATATGATTTAATATGAATAATAATGGTGATTGTGGTTGAATTTTTTTTATTTTTTTATTTTTTTTATCATGTGCACTGATAATATTCTTTATGCTTGCTTATAACATTTATATGTAAAAATTTCAGATATTTATGGATTTCGACATTGAAGATATTTTATCGGGTTTTGACAAGGAATATTTTTAACAAAAATATTGACAATTTATATTAACTTACAAAATAGCAGGTTCCTTAAAAAGAAACCCCGTTTGCAAAGAATTTCAAAGTTAACTGGCTACCAATATGTCCTAGAACTGTTTAACGGTCATCTAATGACATGTTATGATTTGATTCAAGTGACTCCATAGATCTTTATTAGCTTGTGTGAAGAATTGAAAAAAAGGGAAAAGTTGAAAGATTCCAAAATTTATATAGATTCAAGAACTTGTTGCAATGTTTCTTCTTATTATTTATCATAATTCAAGGCACAAACTAATAGCTGATAGATTTCAACACTCCTTAGAATCTACTCACCGCCATTTTCGTAAGGTTTTGTATGACGTTGCATCATTGTTGAAGCATTGGATTGTTCCTCCGACATTTGATGAAACATCTCTAGAAACTAAAAATAACCCAAGATACTATCCAATTTTCAAGGTAATTTTTTGTATTAATTTTTAATTTTTACATTTTTTACTAGAATTTTTTTACATATTATCTATGTATTAATGCATATAGTATGTAGTTTGAATTTAACGATTTATTATAGAATTGCATAGGAGCTATTGATGGAACTCATGTATCAGCACGTGTGCAACAAGATGATCAAATTCTTTATCATGGAAAAGAAAAAAAGCCTACGATGAATGTAATGTGTGCTTGCTCATTTGACATGAAATTTTACATTTGTGATGGCTGGATCTGTTATCTAAATTATTGACTTATTTGAACGCATAATACTAAGTGATTACAATCTATGCATGCAAGGGAGGTAATTTCCTTAAAGATTTAGATAATACTAAGTGATTACAATCTATGCATAGATTGTAATCACTTAGTATTATGTGTTGAAATAAGTCAATAATTTAGATAATAAATAATTGACTTATTGAAACCTATTAAATAGTGATTATCTAATAGATCACATTTTTGAACTCACCATGTAATTTCTATTAATACATTCTTAAAGGATACATCAAAGTTACAATGATCTATATGAATACATCATGAACTTATTTTCCTTTTGACACACTACAAGTATCTTACATATGCAACTTAATATGTCTAATTTGCTATGCAAACTTACATGTGTAATGCCCACTTATAATTGCTAACTAATTTATGTTTGGGGTAATTTTACCCCGCCACGTGGTCCAATCAGAGGATGACACGTGTAGCCCCCAGGATGGCCCAAAGTGGACCTATTCCTGCTTGACACGTGTCACTCCAGAAACTTGGGGAAAATGGCGGCCTTCAGGCCCAAATCCCAAGAAAGCCACCCACCAATGATAAGGGTTCAGTGACCTAATCAGGGGCACAAATCTCGAGTACCCTATAAATAGGGAGATTCCCCTCTTTTGGAGGGCACGTTTTACCATTTATTACAAACTGTCCCTATGATAGAGACATCTGAGCTTGGAATCCGAGCAGATACCCACCTAAATTTCTGCACCTTTTTCTCTCCCTTCAAGTTACTAACTTGTTCGTCGGAGGCGGAGCACCACCCAACCGGTGTCTCCGTTTGTTTTGCAGGTACAGGCCGCACCGGACCAGTCTTTGTGTTGTAACTCTCCCGAGGGACAAAAATACCCAAAACATTTGGCGCCGTCTGTGGGGAGATTACCTCAAAGATGGTTCAAGAGTCTGTACCACCTCCTAACCATCTGAGCGATGACCCGGAAGTTTTTACAGACCAGGAAGATGAAGATCCTCAGGTCGAAACCTATACGGCCGATGATGGCTCTCTGATAACCAAGCGCATCCGGCCCAGAGAGACTCTGGAGCGGGGTGCCTCCCAGGCGGGTGCAAATCGACCCCTTGGGCAGCCGGAAGGGGAAACCCATACGACAGTTGGATCAGCACCTGTCTCCCGAGACGAACTCATGAGATTCATGACAAGTTTCAAGGGTGAAATTAAAGAACTGATAACTAAGAGCCGGGCTGGCCCAAGTAGGGGTCAGACGGTCAAGAAGACTCCTCTGGAAAAGGGGAAGTCAGTCAGAGATCGGCAGCCCACTCCTCATCCAAAGGAGAAGGCAGTCGGGACCATTGATTGGTCCAAAATTCTTCTTCCTAAGAGGAATACCAACAATACCCGCCGGACCCAGCAGCCGGAAGGAAGTAAAAAATCAACTCTTGATGCTCAGGAGATCATCAACCGGAAGAGAAATCAACAGTTGTCTGAGTCGGCTTCTACGTCGAATTTTCTAGACAGCTTCAACAATACTTCTGCAGGGAATGCACTTTCCTTGCATGAGAGTCAGACAAGCGGTAATACCGTCCACTCTGGCCCTCAGATGATCGGGACTGCACCATATGTACCTTCTCAGGTCTACGGTCAGTACCCACCTTACTATATGCAGCCAGCTTTTTTCGGAGGTCAGGCGGCATATCACAACGTCCAACCTCTGAACTGGCAGCTCCGGCTGCTCAAGCTTGGTGAACAACCCTCTGCGTTCGCCAAGAATATAACCGAGGCGGCTCAGCCGTCCAAGGTTAAGAATGTGTTGGTGGGCACCTATGATGGTACCACCAGCCCAGAAGACCACCTGATGGCATACACCAACCTCATGTGTTTACAGGGTTGGGACGATGCCTCCTGGTGTCGATGTTTCCCGGCTACGTTGAAGGGCATTGCCCAACAATGGTTTGGCAACTTGCCAGCCGGTTCAATTGGCTGCTTTAAGAAGCTAGCCTTCTTGTTTGCCACCAACTTCTCCATGAACATCCCTGCTAAGAAAATGAGCCTTGATTTGAGCACCGTTAAGTAGGGTGAGAGAGAAGGGCTACGCTCATATGTCAGGCGGTTCAACCTTGTTAGAATCCAAATCCAAGGACTGTTTGACGAGGTAGCATTTACAGACTTTTTCAAAGGTCCGAGAGACGGGTCAAACTTCAAATTTGACCTCGTCAGAAAAGGGGCATTCACGCTACAGGCGGCCCTGAGGGAGGCGGAGAGCTATATTCAGGCTACCGACCTCTTCACGCCTAGTGGTCAGTCAGACTCTAAGAAGTCTGACAAACAAAAGGAAAGTCGGTCTGCTCAGCCGGCCAACAAGAAAGAAGAGAGCAAAAAGAGAAAAGAAGTCTGGGCGGTTAGTGATTCTGACCAGCCGTCCCAAAAGAAAAAGAGAGAGTTTAAGCCGAACGTCCCCAAGTACGAGTTTAACAAAGACTGCAACTCCATCCTCATGGAGGTAAAGGACCAGAAGTCCATTGACAAGCCGAATCCAATGAAGAGTTCCGTTCAGTCATGGAACAAAAATAAATTCTGTCAGTTCCATGAGGAGGTTGGCCATGACACCAACGACTGCTTCAGTCTTCAGCGGGCGTTGGACCGTCTGGCTGACAAAGGGTTGTTGAAGTCCTACATTTCTAAGTCCCCAGCCAGGGCAAAGAAGAAGAACAAGGGTCAGTCCTCCAAGACTACCCACCAGCCTGCTAGTAGCTCGGATACCGACAAGGAGTCGGTCTACATAATAGCAGGCGGGTTCTCATGTGGTGGCCCTACCATCCGGGGCACCAAGATCCTTCTTCGAAAGATGGACAAAGATGATGATGAACAGGCATCTGCAAGCTCCTCCTTCCCAGACGTCCTGATCACTGAGAAGGACAGGGTCAATGTCCGCCGTCCGCATGATGACCTGGTCGTCATTGAATGTAAGGTTGCCAACCAGCTAGTTGAACGGATTCTTATTGACACCGGAAGCTCATCAGACATCATCAGCCTCCGGTGCCTGCAAAAGCTGAAATACAATGACAGCAGCATGCATCCGGTTACCCACCCCTTGGTTGGTTTTGGGGTGGAATGGTTTACCCAGTCGGAAGGGTTGATTTACCAATCCGGCTGGGTGAGAAAGGGAAAGGGCGACACATGTTCGTCAAGTTCTTGGTCGTTGAGGAGTTGACCGCCTACAACAATATTTTGGGCCGGCTAACCCTCAACGAAGCCAAGGTGGTAATCATCCCTTCCCTTGTTCTCATCAAGTATGAGAGGGGTGACGGCTCTGTTGGTTCCTTGAATGGGGATCAGAAGATAGCCCGGGAGTGCTACCTCTCAGCCGTCAAAGATACTGTGGCCCCAGATGGCCAGGAACCAATAGATCTTAACAATGTTAAGGATGCCGACCCATTACCCGCCCCACCAGCAGTCGGGAAGAAAAGAAAGGCACCTCTGCTAGTGGAGGTGAAGAAAGAGAAAAAATAGCAATCATTGACCGGTGAATGGTCAGACGAGCTCCGTCCCCAACCGGCTGATGAAAACATTGATCTCGCTCTGGATGACAGCCGACCAGAGCGTACTATAAAGGTTGGGACGGTTGCTTATACTACTCTGGGTGCAAGCTTGCACCTTTTGCTGAAAGAATTCAAAGATATTTTTGCCTTTGAAGTGGAAGAGATGTCAGGCGTCAGCCCGGATCTCGCTGTCCATAAACTCGCCGTGGACCCCGAAATGAAGCCCATCCGGCAAAAGAAAAGAAACTACGGCGAGGAAAGAAGTCAAGCGGCAGCTGCCGAAGTCAAAAAGCTGCTAGACGCCGGGTTCATTCGGCCTTGTAATTTCCCCGACTAGGTGGCCAATGTGGTCCTTGTTAAGAACCGAATGGGACCTGGCGCATGTGTGTTGATTACACAGACCTCAACAAGGCGTGTCCAAAGGACAGTTACCCGCTTCCAAAGATCGACAGTCTGGTCGACTCTACAGCCGGTCACGCCTTGATGAGCTTTATGGATGCTTATTCTGGATTCCATCAGATACCCCTCTGGAAGAAAGATCAAGAGAAGACGGCCTTCGTCACTGATTTGGGGTTATTCTGTTATAATGTGATGCCGTTTGGCTTGAAAAATGCGCCTGCCACTTTCCAACGGATGATTAATACGGTCTTAATTAATTTAATTGGGAGGAATGTGGAGGCGTACATTGATGACATGATAGTCAAATCCAAGTAACAGGCGGATCACCTTTCTGATCTCCGAGAAACGTTTACCACCCTCAGGCGGCATAAGGTCATGTTAAACCCCAAGAAATGCGTCTTTGGTGTTGAGTCTGGGAAGTTTCTCAAATTCCTGATGGATCAAAGGGGGATAGAGGCTAACTCCGAAAAGATACAGGCGGTGATTGACATGAAGTCACCCCGTTCTGTCAGGGAAGTTCAGAGACTCACTGGTTGCCTGGCCGCCTTGGGGAGGTTCCTCAGCCGGTCAGGCGACAAGTGACTTTACTTCTTCCAAGCAATCAGGAAGAAGACCAGGTTTGAATAGGGAGACGATGCTGAGACGACATTCCAGAAGTTAAAAGAACACTTGCATTCTCTACCTAGGCTGGTCAGTCCTTTGCCTAGGGAGACGTTGTACATGTATTTAGCCGTCTCAGATCATGCTCTCAGTGCCATTCTCCTTGCTGAGCGAAACGGCGTTCAGCTCCCGGTTTACTTCATTAGCCATGTTCTCAAACATGCTGAACTCCGGTACCCCATGGTTGAAAAATTTGGCCTTGCTTTGTATATGGCATTCAAAAAGCTGAAGCCTTACTTTCTGGCAAATCCGGTGGTGATTTACACTGACCAGCCACTGAAGCGGCCAATGTCCACCTTGGAGTCATCCGGGAGAATGTTGAAATGGGCTATTGAAATGCAAAGTCTTGAAATCACTTACGAACCAAGAAAGGCAGTGAAAGGCCAGGTGTTTGCCGACTTTATTGTTGAAATGACCCGTCCGGTGGCTCCGGATAATCTTAATCAGGTTTGGAAAGTGTATGTAGACGGGAGCTCTACAAAGAACGGCTGTGGTGCAGGTGTAATCTACGAGTCTCCTGAAGGGGACATATATGAGTATGCACTACGGTTTAAGTTTCAGGCCTCTAATAATGAGGCGGAATATGAAGCCCTGCTAGCCCGACAGTATAGAGTACTGACCACACTGAGGGACAGGCCCTGAAGCGAAGGACGGGAACGAGCGCCGGTATCCGTATGTGTAAGGCGGCAGGGGCAATGAAAATTGACGCCTACTCTAATTCACAGTTAGTCGTTA